AGCCTAGTACATTTCTTTCTGCCTATTGTTTGAATTTTGTTACGATTAAAAAAATTACCAGGTGATAATGGGTGAATTTCAATTTCAAGGTTATGGGAGTTGAGTGAGACCGGTCGTGAAAGTCTCCTGATATCTCAACGTGTTTCAGCACAACACAATATACTCATTATCAGAATTAACATTTTATTTCATTTATATCCGCACCTCGGGAAAATCTACATACCGTATTTACTCGAATAGACGCCGCGGCGTTTATTTCATTTTTCACGATCCAGGTGCGGCGTTAATTTATTCGAGGGCGGCGTCTATTCGGGGGCGGCGTTTATTAAAAAACACCTTATTCAGTACTAAATGCCGTACTTTATATTGTATTATTTTACTAATAAACAGTAACGATTCTCAATATATAAATGTCGCATTTTTTCGACTCAATTTATGATTTTAACCAGAGTCAAGCTTCTATTTCAACATCAATGTCCTCCTCGTGGTCGGAGTCTAACAGCTACTGAGAGCAAAAAAGTACAGCCACTTCGAAATAAAAAGTGTTCTAAAAGAAAATAAATTCCCATTGCTGGTATCATTATTTCCTCAAATTGACGCTGCACCCAGATGGGGCGTCTATTCGGGGGCGGTGTCTATTAATATTTTGAGCTTGAAGTGCGGCGTCTATTTGAGGGCAGCAAATACGGTAAGCAATAAACGTAAACATTCAACGTTAATTTTCTTTATTCGCTGACAAGTAACTGTTAACAAATCGTCTACAAAATGCAAGCGACTTATAGTCCTGTCCACACGTAGCCGGAATTATCTGTACTGGTTGCGAAACGATCTCATCTTATAAACTGGGAAATACGGATACACGTAGTCTCAGCCTCCCCTTTCGACGGGCATCCTGTCCCTCCCAAATAGGGACATAAGGGGAGGCTGCGAAGGAGACTAGGATACACGTGAATAACAAAAGGAATAGAAAAGAGAAAAAGAAAAAGGAAAACAGCGTTAACAGTGATCACCGGCCAAGTGCGGACAAGATTTAATAATAATCAATTATTGATTGATAATTGTTTTGCATACTCTCTGTGAAAAATACTATTTTAATATTTATGATTCATGTTTTTCAAAATATTACATAGAAGTTATGTTTTCAAATAATTGATGATCGAGCGAGGAAATAAAACCGTAAAAGAAAAGGTCTAATAACTCAACAGATTCCCTAGGAATCAATGACCACCAAAATGTACTGGTCTATAATTTTCATTTCACNAGAAAACTAACACGTGAAAGCCTTTTATATTTCAGCTTGGTTGCGCGGATACGCGAACGAGTGAAAGATTTTGAGCCAGGTAGCACCGCTCGGAACGGGTCTCATGATAGGTTGAGAAAACAATGGACAAACAATAGATAAGTCTTCCAACAATATAACAAAACCTAACCTAACAATAGTGGTGCTGTACTTAAGGAGCAATCAAAAAGCAGGTTTCAATTGGTACTGCATTACTGAAATTTTTGTGGCGAGACTAAGAACGCCTGTGAGAGAGGCTATATCTGTCAGTGCTTATCTTAAGTAAGTCCTCGTGCTTAGTTGAAGCAAGGTAGATGACGACCGACGGTCATTTTACTTTCCTTCTCTCTCCGTGTACAAACTTTGTTTTGATGCTGTTAGAAGTCAATAATTTTCTTTAAAGGATCATGGTCCAACAGCATTCAATGCGATCGGGTTTTAATTTTTTTCATTATTATATGGAAAATAAGATGACAAATATCCATTCGCAATCCGTTTCCATTCGCCGTTGTAAGATCGAATCGTACAATATTATCTCCATTCATGGGGCATAAAGAGAAGGTTTTTGCTTATATTAACTTTCCTATTCATTTTTAAATACAAACAATTCACTGCGCCCCCTACACCTTGACATAGCTTCCTCCACAGTCATCACTAACAATCACGGGCTTCCTGTCTTTTTGGTGAGTCAAAAGAGGGAGAATGGGGGCGAGAGAGGGGAGGCGCGTGCATCCTCTTCTTATTTTTCCTTTCTCGACACTAGTTCCTAGCGGCCAAGATGACCGTTACAAAGGAAGCCCTTAACTTTGACAGTTGTCCACTTACTTGTAAACCATTTCCAACAAATCTTTATCAGTAGCCATTCTGTTTACTAGATTGTCCCACTCAGCAGGCAGCAATGACTTCATCTTGTACGCCTCCTGTCAATCAAACAGTTAATCAGTCAATCATCCAATCATTCCCTCAATCAATCAGTAACTTAGCAATAACCTTAAAACAAATCCCAAAATCCGATCAAACCTTCAGTCAATCAATACTCCATTTTACAGCTCCAAGCGCCATCTTGAAAGGTAACCAAGTCTTTGCATCATAGCGAGACATGAGTTGAGTCTGCAGTGATAGATACCTCTTTTCATACCATAGTTAGTAGAAGTGAAATTCCCCTCTAATTACTATCATCTGTCATCTAAGACAATTTAATCAATTTTTTTCAGGTATTTATCATTGCAGCTCCAACTTCTGTCTCCCTTTGATGCAAAGGATCGGCTACCTTTCAAGATGTGGCTTGGAACTGTCAAATGGAGTATTAACCAATCAACCATGCAATGAAAGAAGGTTACTATCCGTGCAAATGCTCACAATTTGTCGMGCTTTGATGCAAARACAMGRTTACATTGAAAGATATAACGAGTCTAGTTTAACGTTAGTGGCGTGAAGTTTGCAGCATTTTGTCCCAGTTAGCACTCAATAGGGAAGGTATACAACTGCTTGTCAAAATCTCACTAGTTCATAATCCCATTCCCAGCAAAAACATTGTGTAAGAACAGTTATTTAGAAGAACAAAAGACGCCGACTACTCCTCTCTCCTGTGGTCAATCAATCAGTGAATCGATTACTAAGTCAATGATGGCCCAGTTTTACTGTACCTTGGCTTTGTATTCTAACTCCCATGTAACATTGCCTTTGTTAGCCTTTTCCAAATCAAGAATGTAAGTCTCATGATCGAGGACAACCTGACGTGAAAGGTTACATTAGATTAAACATAATCATGGTGAAAAGACAAGAAATGATGCAATCATCTTTGCGACCACTATCATAATTATAACCATTCATTGTTATCATAATCACCAGCAAAATCGTTCTACTGTTTGATYCTGGTTAAGTAAGATGAATATAGCACACTAAATTTTCTCCTGCTACATTCTATATTTCATGATTCTCAAATTAACCATCCCAGAAGCACTGCAACAGAATAGTAGCCAGCAACAACATCATTTCATACTCACCCTACTACTGTTTGCATAGTTGCCGTCAACGGTATAAATCCTATATCCTGGGTTATGTCCTTGAAATGGAGTCACACTTGGACCAATATATGCAATACTACAATATGATTGCTTAAATTAGTTTAAAATGTTGGACATGGAAAYTGTATGGCTAAAATACTCAGCAAACAGAACTTTGAATGATATTGAACAGCCAATTTGCGAATTTCGCTTCAGAAGTCAAACACAAAAGAATCAAGACAAGGCGCCAGGCATAAAGGTAAGTCAGTTGTGAAAAACTATTGTCTTTTCATGAACGATTGAGCTTTATGCAMGGAGCCTCGTCTTGATTCCTTTGTGTGCGACTACTGAGGCAAAACGCCATTTAATACCAAAAGAGGAAACAAAGATCAAGTTAAACACAATTAACAGTCTCTTATCGCAGCCATTATGAGAGACCTGGGAACAAGCCTCATAATGTCTGCGAGAGGAGACTAAACACAATATAAACAAACACACAACTGAATTAACCTCAAGGGGATTTTGGATGTTTCTTCATCATAAAAGATTTCAAATTCATCATTGTGAGTGTGGCCAAAGAACTGTGCTGTGACAGTACTCTGGTATCGGTTGATAATACTGTAGTAATTCCAGCTCCATGCTCTGAGACAGTCACCGCTTCCAGGAGGAATATGACCAATGATATGAACCTAACATAGATAATAAAAAAAATATTTGTTAATGACTTAGTAATAAATAATGGCTGCAAGAAAAAACTGGAATATCAGGAGAATAAAACACAACACAACACAACACAACACAACACAACACAACACAACACAACACAAAGCAGAGCAGAGTCATAAGGTGGCTGGGTGTTGACAGATTTCATTGCTACATATACATAATATGGTTCTTAGTCTAAAAACCATCACTTATTTAATATCATTGATTTCAGCTTGAACAGGAACTTCCTCTCATTGAACTTTAACTCAAACCCTACCACATGTAGTGCATGTACACTCAGTGTTATCTTTCTGTCGATAACAAATGATACTATTTCTTCTAGGCAACTGTCAAGACACCAACCTTTTCTCCATTGTCTTCTGCTTCTTGTAGAGTATCCACAAGCCACTGGAGTTGATGAGCAGGGTCAACATCATTCAGCAGTAGCCACCTGTCAATCAAATAAATCAGTGCAATAAGCTACTGTATATATCTCCATTTTAAGATACCTTGCACATGAAGACCTGATGAAAATCTGGTCAAAATCCAGTGCATTTCTGGTATCCTATAAATTTCAAATTCTAGCAAGTTTGACAGAATGAGTACATGTACATGTACAKTATATCAAACTTTGGGATCATCAAACCTACCAGTTCATGTTGTTGCAGTAATTCATGTTGAGTGAAATGATTCTTAAACCTTTAGATATCAATACAGTGTAGTAGGCACCTCTACAAACAATACAAACAAACAAAAACTCTTGAGCTTCATTGAACTGCTTTTGTCACTCCAACTAAACATTACAGAAATTTATGGGTACTGGAAAATTAATACTGTATGTAAATCTTCAGGCTTTTGGTTTCCAAGCCAGTTCAGCAAAATTCTCATTGAAAGGACCAAAAATATCATGGCATAAATCATTTGCCCATGTCAGTTCAAATGGAAATACAACAACGAACATGCATCATTTATAATGGGAAGGAAAAAAAGTTTAAGAGAAAAGTTAAAGGAATTTTTTTTTGCATTTATCATTAACTATATGGTACTTGTATTAGGTAGAATACATTAACTAAACAAAATGCACATGTGCAGAGCTTTCAATAAATTTTTAGGTATGTACATGTAGCTTTAAGTATACCAGTACACAAAAATTAGCCATAGCTCCAAGAGGGTTTGTATTACCCAGAGTCCTTTGCAACCAAAAAACAAGATGGTTACTAAATGCATGTTTTGAAACGGATATGTACAATATAAACACATTTTTGAAATCTCTGGCTTYCGCCTTCAATTGAAAGCTCTGACATTGGATTTTCAAAGACTTTTGGAGACTGAAAGAGAAATAAATAATAGAGAGATTATTAACAGGTAGTATTTTGTTACTTTTTGATAGTAGACATGGTGTAGTCTGGTAACCAGTGATGCCAATGTGAAGCCAAAGAATCACGTAACCATTGATTTGAATCAGGTCCAGTAATGGACGGTGGTGGGAAACTATTCAAAACATATTCAAACATCATCTTAATGCACTGTATTTATAGCATTTTTTTATATTTTTATTCAATAGTGATTTGCACAGTGATGTCACATACTTCCAAGACCAGAATGCTTTGGGAACTTTTCTTTTGTGGTGTATAAATAGTTCAAAAACTCATACATAATTAATGAGTTACTAGGCCAATAGAATCAGCCTATTTGGTCACATGCATGGACCTTTATCTGATAAAACACTCCTTATTAGTATTCTTTATAAAGAATACTAATAAGGGTGACCTTTATCAGATATAAAGGTCCATGACCCTAGCAAAGGTTCAAACTAGTGTTAGAGTTTTTGAAGCCGTTTAAAACACTTGAGATTGTGTTTTATCAGGTATAAAGATTTGAGCTTCGGCTAGAATCTTTATACCTGATAAAACGCTCTCTCTCGTGTTTTAAACTATACTTGAATTTTTTTACTAATCTCCAAAGAGAATAAAAGTCTGAATAACAAAGAAAATATGCAGATGATTCTGGTAGTGGTTTTAAAATGCAGCCTATTATTTAATAAATAATTTATGGATTACTAAAGCAAAACTACTGCAGTAATGCGATTAAAGTAAAAACAACTTATTATAATTATAGGACAGGATGTACCAGGGATTTCATTAGATTTGGTCCCTGTCTGTTCTGAAAACTGAAAAAAAGCAACCGTTTGTGATCATATTGGGCCACAAACGTTACAACCGTAATTTGCTACATGTACATTTACTACATGTTCATTTTTGATTTTATTATGTTTTTTATATTTTCTTCGATTGGTTGCATGTATCATAACCTGGTGGGAACTAGTGGTAAACTAGTGTGAGCTGCGTCGGTGTTTCTAAAGAAACAGTTATGTAAAAAGATAAATTTAACACTGTAAAAAAGTATGTGAAATAACTTACTGACGTTTCGGACGTTAATCCTTCGTCGGAGTAAAAGTTTCTTTTTACATAACTGTATTATAACCTTGCTTGTTGACAAATAAAAGAATATCCAAACTTTACTGCTCGAATACATACCTATTAACAGGAGAACTTTCATGATTGCCTAGTGCTGGGAATATTACCTTATTAGGTAAATACTCCAGTATCAGTTTGACTGCATAGTCTAAAGCCTGAAGCTACAGTAGATTAAACAGGAATTATTACTCTTTAACTTCCTTTTAATACATAATTTTTTCAGGCCTTAATAAAATTATTGACTATAATTGAGGGATAAACACATCAACTGGGATGTTTAAGAACTGTGCAAACATGATAGACAGGTGTCAATAAAAGAGTGAGTTGCATTATTCCAAGACTGACCTGGTCAGCTCTGCTTTGGTTCCAGACGTTGTGAGCAGGAATGTCTCCTGTCCATAGTGCATAATCAAACTACAAAAAGAAGTTAAAAATAATGACTGTGCACAACAGAGATGATGTTCTTATTACAACAACTCACCTCTTGGGTGTCATTGATATGTTTCAACATATTTTCAAGTGTTATAAGCGGTGTATCACATGCGTAATCACCATATTTACCAGCACCATTACCTGGCTCTGAAATAAAACAAAGCTTAAGTTAATAAGCAGTGGATTGTGTTACATGTAAATATCTAGAATAATGCAATTCGCTGCTAGTGAAGCAAGGGTGCTAGGGAAGCAAAGGTTTCAATTTATCGGAAAGTTCAAAAATACCCTAAAAAGTCACTTTGGCCTTTTTTGCAGCCAGCCCTTCAATTCAGCACTCGGTCTGCAAGGATGTGCGATTAGCTACCACCAATTTATTTATATTATTTATTTATTTTATTTATCAATGATTAATTTCAATTGGAGAAATGGAACCAGTGACAAACTTGACCAAGACCATCAGAAATCATAACCATGCTTCTCAGGGCAATTCAATAAAAATTGAGGACAATGAATAACTTATTTTTCTTCTTAGTGTTACTTACAGCCAAGTTTTACATGTAAATATACATTGCAGCAGAAAATTTCAATAAAATTTGCCAAATAAATACCCTGTTTAAGAGAGGAATTATGTATCCTGTTTTAGAGCCAAAAACATTGAAAACCATACCCTACAGCATAGCAAAAGTATGCAAGGTAAGGCCGAGCACTGTAGTTACCTGCTTGTGGGTCTGTTTTACGACAGCACAGAGGCTCACCGCAGTCAGAACTGGCTCCTTCTTGGTATAACGGGTCAAGATGGATATCAGAGATGTGTAGAACTCGTATCACTGGTGAACCAGCCTGGACAATGACAAACCATGCATTACAACTCATGGAATGATCAACCGATCAAATRTTGTGATTATTGAAATCATTACGCTTCACAAACAGCTTCAACATAATTATCATTCATTGTTTTGGAGATCAAAAGAATTAATGTTGAGCAGATATTGATGTTTATAAATGCTAATAAACTCATTTGTGACATTGATTCTCAGGTTTTAACAACAATGTTGACAAACATTGAAAGTCACACGCAAACACGTCAACATTGCTGTACAACAAAGTTGAACAAATATTGGACCAAATGTCCAAAGTGTATGAGTGAACCTTTACTAAATAGAGGGGACTGAAAGGACATTTGGATACATATTTCATTTTCTAGTGTTGGAAACATCTTATATGTATAAGTAAACTAGTGTGAGCTGCGTCGGTGTTTCTAAAGAAACAATTGTGTAAAAAGATAAATTAAGTTTACACTTTTACTCCGACGAAGGATTAACGTCTGAAACGTCAGTAAGTTACTTCTCCTACTTTTTTACGGTGTTTAATTTATCTTTTTACACAACTGTATGTATAAGTAAGTCCGGCGAAAGTGAAAAGTATCTACAGCCGAAATACCCTGCGAGCAGTGTATTTGCTTAACTCAATAAAAATTCGTGAAGGAAAATTTTTATTGAGGTAAGGAAATGCACTCTGCTCGCAGGGTACAGCCGACATAAAACACTACGAAAATACAATGTAGAATAACAGTCTAACATTTACATTCATGACATATTGTAAGATTATTTTCTTATTACACATTTGTTGTTTTAAAAAGATAACATAGTAGGTGACCATCCAAAACAGTCAACGTGAATTCATAATATGGTGTGATATAAGAAGATCATGTGATGCCTGTCACAAGACAACATAATAACATTGTCTTTAATGATGAAATTACAAAAAGAATATTACACTACAATGCCAACAATTAAACAATTTATATATTGATTAAAAGGATAAGAAAATTATGTYCTTAACTTCAGACGACACTGCAAACTTGGCTCATGGTTAAAAAATGTTCCTGCCAAACAACTCCTCAAGGTCAATGACTTACTTAAATTGTAAACTTATAGTCAACAAGTTTTAGAAAACAGTATTGACAACACATCGAGCACTGCAAGAATTCGAGAAAAAATCTTACCTTTGGAGGTGGAATAGGCCGAACTGGAGGTTTTGGGGTTTTGGGAAAAGTCACATTCCAGAAAATATCGGGGTTTGGTTTCGTTGCGCAACTTGGTCCCAGCAATGAGCCACATATTTCATTCGAGCTTATAAAATAATCGTCAAAAACTGTCAAAACTTCTTGCCGAAATTCCTTTATAATGCCATCACAGACTGTCTTATCTTCAATCTTCATTTTGATGCATACTTTCGTAAGAAAGGAAACGATATCGTCTTCAGATGGTTTTGTTTTGAAGGCAACTTGAGCAATATCCACGAAGGCTTTGCAAGCATCGCACTCAGCAGCAGACTTAAAATTCTTTATAAAATGATGTAGACGATCTAGAAAAGACTGTTTTAGTGAAAGCCCATGTGGTTTTGCTGATGAGCCAAGGATATGACATAAAAGAATAAAGCTAATGCAGAGTTTTGCGTTGAAACGCATCCTTCTCTCTTGCGGTGAGACAAAATGTGCACTCCTCTTACACTYCCCAATGTTTTGTTCCACAAGGGAACATTCACATACGAAAAAGGGACCCTTTAGARCCAATCAAAGAAAAGACCCTTCGTATTTGTACCATATTCTATATATTTTTCAATTGATTTAGATTTTCTTTTGCAAATCTATCCTAACTGTTTCTTACAAATGGAAATACTTTTCTTAGATTTGAAGGATTTTTTATTTCATTTCCCAAAAKCTACAAAAAGAAATTGTCTTCATGGGATCCCTGTGTTCAGTGCATGCGTAAACACAGGTGAACCAGCCAAAATGGCGACCAACATGAGCTGAAGGACTGAATGATGAAACTTGATCTTTCGCTGTTATTCTCCCTGGAGATATGTCCATATAAAATAGTTATTCTTCCATTGATATCTGCAGGACAYCAAGAAYCTTGCAATCGGTTGTAAAATTGGAAAATCCATTGTGCTAGAGACGTTGCTCAAATCCAGTTCACGTTGTTTGTCTGGTWAACTGCTCCCATGTGACAACTACCTCAGTCACATTTGATGTTTACAAGCTGTTTTCGGCATGGCGAGTGATGGTAGCGACAAAGAAAAGAAAATMAGCTCGAGTACGAGTTTTTCTGAGCGTTCTGCGTCCTCACAACARACTGGAAGTAGCGTTTGGAACCTCTGCGACACTCAAGCAGTTGACCTCAGAGATATAACTCCGTCTATTAGTCCTGTCTTTACCGAGGATCAAGTCCGGGAACTTAGCGGGCAGACCGGTGATTTGGAYGTTTTAGGAGATAACTTTTTACCTCATATCAAGCGTATTACTGAAGTTTTGTCGCCAGAGCAAACTAATTTGATTATCAGCACATGTACATCGCTATGTAGCGAATCGGATGGCTTGAGCTATTCTCATCCCGTGGTGGGCTCTATCGGTCATTTCGTGTCTCAGCACGAACCGGTGTTAAATTCTCCCCCTGAAAAAACCTCATCAAAACACAATGCAACTTCAGAAACAACAAAAAGTGGTGATGTAGRACAATCGGAGGYAAAACATCTGGCCAAATCTACGGACAGCGTCGATTCTGGTACAGCAAAGTGTGCCGATGGTACCGAGATTGATGCTCAAGATCCGATAGAGAGCACAAATGAAGAACTAGTTCCAACAACGAAGGAAAACAAGCCAAAGAATGAAAAAATCAAGTCGACTTATACTTTAAGAAGCTCTCCGCGGAAGGCTGCGAGAGAAGAGAAAAACACAGCTGAAAATCCGTCTATAAACACACGTCAGAAGAACAAGAAAGATGTAAAGGACACCGAACGACGCAAGAGTCCTCGTGGCCAGAAGCAAACCCCACAGAAAGACGACACGTCTGCTGCGCCAGAAAAGAAGAGTCCAGCAAAAAAAGGCAAACAAAAGGAAGACCAAAGTGAGCCAGAATCGAATAGTAAGGAAGAAAACAAGAAGGACGAGGGAATGAGTCTTCGAAGGTTAGTAGTCTGATATTTATAAATATTTGCGCATATTATTGATAATTAATAATATATTATTCAAAGATTAATTCATGCAGTTTGATTAAAATGAGAGTCCTTTAATTTTCTAGTCACCTGTTATCAGGAAGTTTTTTACTTATAAAACATCAATTTGCATATAAACAATAATTATGCAAAAAATATATCATAGGAACAATGTA